CCCCCCCCCCCCCCCAAATAACATAATTCTTTGCTTTATGTAACATGCATTTGAGTCACGTAATTTTCATGAACGTAACACCAAAATAAACTCTTTTCTGTGGGATTTTACTAAGTTTATTTGTTGTTTTACAAAACATCAAGACTTTCTCAATACAAAGCAAACAATAACTTGAGCAATGCCCTAGAAATATTGAAAGGCGTCAAGTAGAACCAAAACCATGAATGGATAAGAAGCGGATTCTCTACCATGCGGCACTCTGCCTAGCCAACCCTAGTCATCCAACGACAGGCATAGTGGGCCTAGCATCTTGACTAGTGGGACCTAAGTCGTTGATCCAACGGCTCCGGCACAAAGGTAACATTTGGGTCTCCATATTTCTACCTCTTCACCAAAATGTAAATGACGACACGCGGAGTGAGGTAATCTGGATGCCAATGCATCTGATCAACACGCCCCACAATGAACTCCTTTGACACTGCTTCCAAGAAGTATTCAAGGATGGCATCTGTTGCAACAAGAAGAATATGAGATTACTATATTTACTACTCCGTAATATTCTTAAGCTACATACAGTTGGAGACTTGGAGTACCATTTCTAAGTTCACCAGCTAAAACAATTGTTGTATGAGAACCGCACAGGTCTTTTAGCGTTTCCAACAAATCCATTACTGTCACTATAAATGACATCCGAACCCAGAACTGCAATGATGGAGGATTAAAAGATATAGCAGCTGTCCATTTTTTTAGTCAATAGAAGAACATAACATGATGTCAATTGAGGAGACTTCAGGCTTCATACATCAAATAGAGACATATATCCAGCAAACAAGGTATTCTGGATAATTTTGGATTATAAATCATATTCGTAAAGTCCTTAGTATGGAATACCCCGTAGTAGGTACTAGTGTAAAATAGGCTTTTACGTTAAACTTTTTACCTCGGTCATTAAAGAAATGGTGTCAACACTTCAGTTGGGTCGTTTTCATAAATTTTATGCAGTAAATGATTTTATTCATTAACTCACAAACCAAGTTCTTTGATCAGGCCATTTCATTAAGTTTCAATATATTTTCTTCATTAATTCACAAATCAACCGATGTAATGCAAAGGCGGTATGCACCCTCCTTCCCAATATAAAGTTCATTATCTCCTTTTTTACTCTCACAAACAAACTTTGATTCATTTTAAGGAATGAATTGTGCGGTTGACATGTTCTTTTTAAAGTAAATTTCAACCTTACCTCTTTTTTATGGAAAGAGTTGATGAACAAAAAAATGAATTATCAAGGCATTCAGGTCTTTGAAGAGAGGTTAGTCATCTTACCATAATCAGGGAAAGGATTACACAGAACAGGATCGAGTTCGTCTCCCCAAGTGAGTTCAGTCACTGTTGCTGAACCTTTTACATACCCATACAAATTAGCTTCAACATTTTTCTTCAGTAATCTCAATCTATCTGGGAGATCAGTAAGAATAACCCAAGCACCCAAAAAGGCAGTGATGCACCTGGAAATGATAACAGTGAGAAGAAATGGCAGTATACTTATAAACAATGAAGTCTAACTTGGTAAAGCTTTGCAGTATGCGAATGATTAAAGTAGAATCAACACTGGTCTGCTTATAAACAATTGCTGGTCAGAAGTGTCCCGAACTAGTCTGCAAAATCTCTACAACAGAATATCATTTTAGCTTTTAACAGCCTTTCCAAGTTGGTTTGCTATTATAGATATTCTTAACTAATGATGATTAAAGTAAGATCGACACTAAAAGGCAAGCTGAAGCACCAATATTCATTACCCCACTAATCCACAGCCAGATCCTAATTCAACAACCTTCTTTTCGAGCAGCGAAATTGCTTCTGATTCCACAGCATGCTCTAAGAATTTTCCAAGAACAACTCCACTATCCCACATTACTGAACCAGTTACTCCAGGAGTTCCCTAAAGTCAAAAGAATGTCTATAGTTGATCATTCAAGGTAATAGTGATTGTAGTTGTAATTCTGTAAAAATATAAATTGTGTGAGGAACTGAGAAAGAGGGATTTTAAGAATGTTATCCCGCATCACTGAACAAGACAACCAGATAACCGCGTTCCCAAAAGTTGAAGAAGTATATGCCTGTAATTGACCATTTGAGGTATGAAAAATGGAGTTTGAGAACACTGGTGCAGAGTATCACAAGACAGTAATCCCATTATTAGCTTATAACACAAATATCAACTGCAATATGCTATTTTGGAACCATGATACCACAGGTTGCGGTAATTACAGGTTTCTCACATGTCACGGAGATGGAAGGCATAGTCCAAAGAAGCTATAAACAGCTCCAACAGTTCTGGAAAGTGTGTGGGAAAATTTTCATCTTTCATTACACACGGAAAGACAGGAGAGTTACAATCCTTTGTTAATTCCAGCAATACGCTTAAGTCTTGACTCTTGACAAACACATCAGTTCATTTATTTTTCCCACAAAAACCAAACAAGTAGGCTTTAGAATGTCATCATCCCTGGAATGAGAATAGAAGAAACTATTGTGGAGAATAGGAAACACTACCTTAAAAGTGAATTCAATGTCATCGTTGCAGGCTTTAGAATGACATCATCTCCAAAGTTAGCCAAGTAACCGTGTAATCGTGCACTCAATTCAGGGATTAGCACTGCTTAAAGTGCCGAACAAGGAAACAAAATGGTTCTTATTGTTTTGGTATTTGTGGAAACAACAGGGAGAATGATAGGAGTATTGGCAACTCAAACATAAAAGGAGAAAATGAGTGCTGCATGAGCTCTCGAACAAGACATTCATGCCTTGGAAAAGTTGATAATTATCTTAAACTAGTAAACTACTGCATAGCTCCCTTCTCAAAATGAGAGTTTATTTAGTCTAATGCAACCTATAGTTAAAGTAAGAAATGCTCCCTATGTCCTTAAACAAACTCCATGCTTTGACTTCACAGAGTTCAAGAAAAATATTGTAAGTCAAAAGTGTATAGTTAGAATTTGTTCACAAGAAAAAGAAATTATTAGCGCTACACATTCATTTACTTTAAAAGGAAATAAGGAAACAAAAAAAATTATTTTAGAATGTACGGAAAAGAAAAGTGTGAAGTTTATTTTGGGACAGAGGTAGGAAATTACTTGCAAAGAATGAAAGAAATAATGAGATGAAAGTTTAAAACCTTCATCGCCATATATAAACCAACAACAAGCTTTGCCACTATGCTTCTTTGCATGAATTTATACGGTAAACTATTTCATTCAATTTATTACCGCTATAAATTGAATGCTATGGACCCCAACTAATAGGGAATAAGGTGTTCATGATGATAGAGGGGATTGGCAATACATTAAAATCACAACAAACAATTTTGTTCAAACACTCCCACATTTTATTTAGCAAACTCTTCAACTTCTCTGCTTTTCTTAATACGGAGTAACAAAAAGCATTTTATAGAAAAAATGCACAAGAAATTACTCGTTTAATAGTACATAAACTCAATTTTTACCACAAACTCCCTACTTTCCAAATAATTACTGGTTCAGGTGAAATTCTGGGGAAAAAAATAGAATTTGGTGCACATATATAGCACAGCTCATCAAACATTTCTACGTAGTAAAAATTAAGGGGAAAAAAGAAACAATTACACTCCCAAATTCATACTTCCGCAACAATCAAATCCCTAAACTCAAATCGATTAGGTTGAATTTGAAAATCCAGATGCATACCAAAGAAGAAGGGGACTGAAGAATGGACAGAGAGAGGCCACAGGAGTCCAGGCGGAGCTGGAGGGAGGACTGTTTGGAGAAGGCGTTGGGCTTCGAGAGAGTTGGCTGTTGTAATCCCCATAGCAGCATCGTCTCCTCTGCTGGCTCTTGGCAGTTCACTATCCTCACTTTCCCTTTGTATAATCCTAGCCCATCCACAATCTGTTCTTCTTCGCCTGCATCCTCTTCGTCTACCGCCATCTTCGTTTGCGCGAAGCTTGGCGCAGCCAGATTGGGCATCGTCATCATCTTCTGCGCAGCTCCCCTCCCAAATTACTTCCTTGTAAACTCTTTTTGTTTTTTCTAACAATGTAATTCAAACTTTTTATTTTTAAAAAAGATGACATTTTAAAAGTTCAACATTCTATTAGTATTACCTATTTTAATTTTCTAATAATGTAAAGGTATGTGTAATGTAATTAATTTTTAACTATAGATATGATTTTTTATTGCAATTATGATGCCTGAAAATGAATAACATTAAAAATTATTAAGTGATGAATTTCATCTATATCTCTAGATTATTGTGGGATAGTAAAAAACACATCAAACTTATATTTTGAAAAAAAATCCCAGTTTATTTCAAATAGGGATGGTCAAGCAAAAAACAGGCGCAAAGAGTCTGGTCACTTCTTTCACAAATAAAGTACCTTTTTTTAATAAGAGTAAATTCTATAATTGGTCCTTTATAATAGGGGGTTTCCCTATTTAGTTCTCTATTATTAAATATTATCCCAGTGGTCCTTCTTTTATGGGTACCTTTCCACAAATAGTCCTTTTTTTGATCTTCTATCATGTTGGTGTTAATTTGAGAGCTAAAAGTGTAATTTCACAATGATAATATATCTTTTTTGTCATACACAATTCCAAAGGCTGTTCCGTTTGCGTCGTTTGTGAATTACAGTCGCTTTTTACGACAACGATAGTCTACAAATGTGATCTTTCGTCAGAATCCTAACCCACAATCATAGTTATTATTTTTGTGTTATCCGTTTAATCAATATCAGAATACGTCACTAGACATAATGTTGATGTCAAATTATACTTTTAGCCTTTAAATTAACACCAACACTATAGAAGATTAAAAAAGGACCATTTGTGGAAAGGTATCCTTAAAAAAAGGACTACGAGGGTAATATTTAGTAATAAAGGATTAAATATGGAAACCCCCATGTTATAAAGGACCAATTATGAAATTTACTCTTTTAATAATAATCAACTCAAGCATAGTAAAGATTAAGGTTTCGGACAATGGAAGCGAGATTTGTACAATGCAAATAACCCAAGTATAGAAGCAATAATGTCCTTATTGCCTTCGTCTCCCCAAGTTAATGTCAATGGTTCATCTCCTGAAGCGTGCCAATGTCATATTAATGTCAATGGTTCTATTGTCAAAAGAATCATCGTGTAAAGAATACTATGTTTTATTAGCAATTCAGCACTACACATTTTCAACAAATAGTCTAAAACAGAATATCTAGAAGATCTTAGCCTGTGAGAAAATCTAATACGGAGTATGTGTAACTCGTTCAATATTCACTCATTAGGAGCTTCACTAAGTTCTAGTATTTACTTGGCCATTTAAATTGAAGCTGAGCCAAGGCTATTTATTTTTTTTATAGGTCAAGCAGCAGTTAAAACTTCTGTTTTCCTTATTAATTTGCATGCACCTATGGTGTTCAATACGAACCAACTCATTGACTCCAAACTTAGGCATTCTTGATTTATACTCATGTACGGTTTAGCAAGTAGCAAGCACATTCAGTTGCACATTCAACTCAATTAATGAAACAACCTTGATGCGCAAAAAAAAGCTGGAGATGAAAATAATTAATATGATGTGGACTTGGAGGAAAGGGAACATAGAGTAATTGAATCTCATAGAAGGTGAAAGAAACCGCCCGAGTAAATGGTTCTTTGAAATTACAAAAAAGGAAATAATCTGCTAGCTAGGTGCTATGCAATTGTTGAAAAGAAGTTTCCAAACAAATGAAACATAATATAGCATCCCAATATATACGATCCGAAGCTTCAAATAAAATTTGCAGTGATAACATGGCAGCATAAAAGCAAACACAAATTAAGTGAATTTAGTTTTTATACCTGGCTTAGAGAAGATGGACAAAGAGCCTTCAATGGTGGATTTTCTTCTTATTAGTAAAAAAGAGTATCCAGGCTTTAAATTTAAGTGGATCACTCAATGTTCTCTTTCTTCACGTTAGTCAGAATAGTGATCGGCATGTGCTTGCCTCTAGCGCTAGCCTTGTTTCTCTTGCTGTACTGATTTCTCAAGATTTCCCCTATATTTCTTTCTTAAATTCATCATCACCAAATATTATGATTCTTGCAGGCCGATCGTCTTCTTCTGGATCAAAGGAAAATATTATATTTAGTCCTTCACAATTCCTTTAAGCAAGTATTTTATTTATTAAGCAACCCCTTCAATGTTCCAAATATAAAACCAAGTTCTTTTAGATGCTCAATAATCAATCTTGTCAAATTGTAAAGAGACATGGCTCACAGTATGATAGAAATCTGAATATAAGGGGTGTATATAAAAGTGGCACCTAAATCAGCATTGACAAATAAGCATATGTAAGACTTATCCTCTGGGAGTGACACCATTTGTAATAGTCACTGAAATACAAACTGCTTCGGTACTATATTCTACCTTCATGCCGAGTATGATGAACAGAGCCAAGAATAATACCATTAAGAGAAGTATAATATATGAACTTGTGCTAGATTTCTACTGGTTGTTGAGACCTCATGATCTTATCTGGCCATCCATTTTTTGAAAAGCCTGTGAACAAACTCTACATTAATACAAATGACTTTATCACCAAAAAAAATCAACTGGTGAATAATGAAACAATACAAAAACTAACAAAATCTAACCTTCACTGACGTATTGTTAATAAAGTACGGTTGATTATGCGTAGAGAAGACCTTTTTCTTGTCCAAGACTGCACATTTCACACCTTAAAGCAAAAAATGTATTTAACATGATAAATAAACTGAACTCCCAAACATCAAAACCCAATAAAATGTTTAAACAACGAAAGCAAGAAAATTATACTGTGAGGTTATAGAGAACATGAAACTGTAGATTTATTGAACTTAATGAGTATTTAACAGGCTCGATTCTAGCCATGCTTAAGGGCATGTTGTTTGCATGTTTGCAACTTTCAACTACGAAAGTCCAACTTAGAAGGAAATGCACAATTAACTTCATTAGCTCAGAAAGAATGAGTAGATGAAATCATGGATAAAGAGTTTATTATGATACCTAAACCAAGCATTCGTGTCTTTTGCACCGTCAATTGATTAAAGTTTGATCTATTGATGGTTGAGGCCAGACACTATCCTCCTTTAATTTGAATGAGAAGAACCCTCGTAAGATATAATCTATTCATAAGTAATAACCTGCACGTATTGAACATAGATTTAAAAATGATATAATTTCTTTTAAACATACAAATATTTACAGCTAATAAAGGAAATTTAGTACCCTAGGTCACCTAAAAAACAAATAGAGCTACATAAAAATGTAGAAATTGAAACACAGATCATAAATGACCAAGAAAGTGCAACTAAAATAACGAATCAACCAAAGTTTTCATAAGATTTTGATAAATACGGAAATACCTGAAGGGGAGTAAGTTCCTATGGGAGTTCTAAGAAAAGAGCCTTTGATTATGTAAGATGTCGAACATCACACTCTCAGTTATCTGAACTATATGCCTTCTACTTGCTAACTGAATGACCGGATATGCCAATGACAACCTGCTAAGCGGACAAAGATGCCAATGGCAAAGAAGAAACACTGTTAGGTGAAGAAACACCCATGATAATAAAAAAAATAATTGCTAGAAAATAAATCATGTAGCCATTATAGAATAACCACTGAACCGAAATCAGTTCACCAACCTTTAGTCTCTGCATAGCAATTGCTGGCTCCTAGCCCCTTAGCAGAATAATCTAGTTGTGCTAAAAAAAGGGATGAAAAATACTGTAATTAATATGGTGTGGATGAGGGAAAATAGAGAACAACTGAAGGTAGTGGAAAGTGAAAGAAATTATGCAAAAGCAGAAAAAAATTGGTGGTCAAGGGAGCTGAGACAACCCTCGAGTTGGAGGCCTTGTAATACACCCTCATAAAACCCCTCATGGCAGGTAAATATAACCATAATCCAATATATGTTATGATAACCATTTGAAAAAATGCAAACTTATAGGGTATATTTGGAACAGATCAATTCCCAAGGAATTCAAATAATCAGTGAAGCAAAAAGAACTTGAGTAAAAAAATTAATCTCAACTAAGTACCTCGTTTGGCTTTCTATCAAGATCTATCATTTGAGAACCCGTTGTCATTCACATAATCTTTTCCAAATAATCAGATGTTGCTCTCTCATGAGTCTCATCTGAATCTTTTGCTTGGAAAAGGCGATTGCACCAAAATCTGCATCTCTCCCGTCAAGCTTGAAATAATTATGTTGTGCCTGGTGTTTAATAAGGTAAGTCGTGTTTTGTTTTTTTAAAGAAAAATTAAATGTTAAGGCGTAATAAGAATGGCAGCAACTAAACCCATTTTAGGCAGCCATTTTGTATATGGGCCTGATATAGAGAAAAAAAATCATTAAGCTGCACTTTTCAGACGAAACACAAAACAAAAAAATCATTTATCTCAAAGCTTAATATTTATCTTGTGTTCAAGAAAAAAAGAAGATATCAAGATTACCTTCAGGGAAGATTAGTGAAAAAATCAAGCCAAGCTATAGTCCCTAAAATAGAAAAAAATGTCTAAGATATTACATCTCATAGCCAATTGGTCCATAATACTCTGAGAAAATAACAACCAGATCTTTGTTGGTTGGATGGATTAAAGCATATTTGCATTTGTATTAAGTTCAATGGATAAGCCACTTGCAATTATAAACATAATTCATCAAACTTTGCACTTCTTGAATATAGTCTTTCTCATTTAGTCTCTCATGTCTTCAGTTGTGATATTAGAAAATAGACCTTGAGAGCATAAAACAATATTAGAAAAGAAATCAGCGAGTATACATGAAAAATTCAAGGAGCTTGAGAACATAAAACAATATGTAACATGACTAAAAGAACATAAAAATACACCTTATCATGAAATTTAGCCCTTTGTTTACTTATTTAAGTATATAAGTTTCATATGTTAATGTAATAGCCATGAAACATAGCCTAAAATTAACACAATAGAAATCAAAGTATGACATGATTAAAGAGAAAAGAAAGAATTAGATTAAGTCTGCTCCATACAAAAGTCTGCACCAACCAAGAGGAAAAAACATACGGAGTATAAGTTTAAGAATGTATAAGAAGCAAGACTTACTTTTTTAAAAATCTACCCCATACAAAGTCTGCTCTCTGGCGCACCAACCAAGAGGAACAAAAAGAAAATTAAATTACTCAGTAGGATAAAAGCATATTTTTGCACCGATCATGATGGTAAATGATGGGTTTTACATTAGAATCCCTAAATACCAAAAACAGAAAGAAGAAAGGGATGTTAGGGATCTAACTCTACTCTCGACCTTTCTCTGTTTCGTCCCTTTCTGTTGTCATCCGTCAGATGCTACGGATCTGCCCTTGGCTCCTATCCCTGCGACCCTGCGTACGAATCTTCTCTAGAAGACCCGTGCCTAGGAACGAAAATGAGACGGCTATAGTGATAGATTTGAATTGAGAATTGATTGGATTTTTTTTAGATTAACAGATAGACTCCCCGATGAAGCAGCGGTTTTACACACTCAGAATGCCTATGTGGGTGACTCAAAAAAAAAGCCACGTACACTTAAAATAACATATGTGGATTGACATGTGGTGGCCCCACAATTGATGCACTCTACTTTATATACGGTATATACTACTCCGTAGCATTTTAACCCGTGCAGCGGTTAAATGATTTTTCTTGTAAGGAATTTGTAATATTTCTTTACTACAACATTTTTCAGAAATTAAACAAAATAAAACATTGACCTTAATAGTTAAAATAATGATAAAGCATATAACATTTTCTAATGATAATTTTACTATATACATTTGAAAATTAATACGGAGTATGTCAAACTTTTAGTTAAATTAAAATAATTTGAAAATTTTAAGGTATACAATATTTTTGTATAATGTTATAACACCTTGGTATATAATATTCCTTTAATCAAATGCAATAAAATGTACTCCGTATTTAAAAAGCCAAATGGACCAATTGAATGTAATCTACCTCATTAATGGGTGTACATGTGAATGCACATGTGGCATGCTACATGTCAACACCACAACACATAAACTTAACTTTACATATATATACTAGTACTAGTATTCTGACCCGTGCCACGCACGGGGTCGAACAAATTTTTTTATCGATTTAAAAAATTTTCTTAATGTAATATTTTACTGCAATAAAGAAAATATACTTCTCGCATGATTTTTAATGAGACAAAAAAATAAAGTGGAATAAATAATATTTGAGGAATTGAATGTGTACACAAAAAAATTAATTCTAAATTTTCTGAAAAACATCAGTGTATGCAACATTTTTAGTATGGTTCCAAGGGTTTCCATTGTCATCTAGGACTAATATTTTTAATCATGTCATTGTCTTCACTCGCAAAACAGCAACATAAAGCTGACCATGAGTGAACACCAACTTGGTTAAAAATAATCCAACAAATGACAATATTTGACCTTAACTTTTGTCGATAGTCATAGTAGAACATAAGGCTATTAGAAACTGACTTCTCTCGAACTTCAAAGATTTCATACCAAAATATTGATTTCACATTTTTTTTATATTTTAAATAAAGTGGCATATTAGACTATTAGCTGTCAATATTGGAGTTATTTATTGGTGAAGAAAACAATTTATTTATTAGGTGTCCATATTTAAATAAATTTAATCAAAAAACTAATTTCAAGTAAAGGTAGAATAAATAGTTATAAAATTTATTTATATGTGAAGAGAATATTTTATATTTTATTCTAAAAATTGGTTATAAATAAAGAGAAAAAATATAAAATTCAGATCAAATCAGATTTAATCATATCAGATCAGATCCAATCAGATCAGATCAGATCCAATCAGATCAGATTAGGACTTATTAAAATCAGATCCCATCAAGAATTATTATTGTTATTATTATTATTATTAGTATTATAATAATAATAATAATATTATTATTATTATTATTATTATCATCATCATCATCATCATCATTATTACGATGTCAATCTAATTCTACTTTTAAAATATATTTTTATTACTACTTGTAATTTGAGTTTCTAAACTTTTGATCTTTTATAAGGATGAGATATTTTAATAAAAATACTATCTCTTCTATATATTGATTATCTAAATTTCATTATTTTTTAATGTGTATCTAAATTAAATATTTATTCTAATGTATAATTCTAATTTACAAAAAAATAATCATAAAATAAAAATATTATTACATTATAATATGAATGATTATTCTAATATATGAATTGACTATTTTTATTTTATTAAAAAATAAACATTAAGTAAAAAATATTGATTATATTATAATATGAATTATCATTACAATTTTCAAACATTATTATAAAGTCAAATTAAATTATTGATTTAAAATTTTAAATTAAATCATAATTAATCGGATCAGATCAGATCCAATCAGATCAGATCAGATCCAATCAGATCAGATCAGATCAGATCCAATCAGATCAGATCATATCAGATGAGATCAGAACGTATTAGAATCATATCAGATCAGAAAAAATAAGTTGAACCGAACAACTGGGCCTAAGAATCCACAACAATTAATCCTACTATTTACAATAGAAGTAGGAAAAAAGTCCCGCTCAAATGTTGTATCTACCGTTCGAGCACGATCTCACGCAAGTCTCTAGACCCTACTATCTCGCCACCAGTTTCTTCTATGTCTAGGATAAGGTTTTAGCTTGTTTCTGTTGAATCGGAGACCTGCCCTCTCAGCCCTGCAACACACAAATTCTTCTTCCGATCCTTATCATGCGCTAGGGTTTCGACAGATGCAATTCCCTCTTTTGTGCAATACCCCAATTTGGCATGCAGGACCAGGCTAGGATTTCGCTTTAAACAGATGCAATTCGTCTCTTTAGTAAGGTATAAAAGATGTTTTGTTTTTGCTATAAAATCATTAGCAAATTATGTAGGCATGCGTTGTATCCTTTTCAGATATTTCTTCAATTGGTATACTTTCTCTTCTTAAATTTGTTTTAAATTAATTTAATTTAAATTTGGGTTCTCAAACAATTATTGATTTTGAATTCTTTTTTTTCCAGATTCTCTAGAAGGTTGTGGCTTATAGCTGTCTTTGATTTAGTCCTAATATTATCATAAGGTAAAATGTTTCCATTACACTTTCTCTCTGTTGAATTTTTGAACTACATACTAGAAAAGTTTAGGTTCAGTTTTGTGTTGAATTCTCTAATTTTTACATAAATAGTATAGGAGGATGTAGCTACCCTTTTTCCGATGCAATATCTTCCCCATTCGTAAACTCATGTACATAGAAGGTGTCCACTTACACTTTTGAAATATATCAATTCGAAACTAGAAAAGGGCTTCACTAGTTATTGAATGCTTCTGGCGTTTACATTTGAGATATTTCTTTCTTTTTTTGCTAACTTAGTTTTATCCGTGCTTTGCATAGTAGTTTTTTCTTTTTTTAAGTCTGAAAACTTTATATTCCCAAACATATTTTTTCATTTTTGGGTTTACTGCAAAATTTCAAGAATGCAGGCTTTGATCTTGATATAATCTGTGTCGATCCTTTAGGAAATGTGCTGTATTATCATGCTGATTCAGCCTCTCCTCTAGCTTTGGATGTTACTTCTTCATTCGTTTCTATTCTCAAGTATTAACCTTTTGAATTATATGCTCTATATATGAGACTTGAGTTTTTTATTATCTTTGTGAGTTGAATATGGGCTGTTGTCAATAGTGGCAAGTACTCTTTTTGCACAAATAGTGTGTGACCGTGTTTGCCTCATTTATAAATAATCTTTTAATCTGATTGTAAGAATTATATGAGCAGTCCTTAGCTTTTTTGAGTTGTTTAAAGAAGCATTAGACCTTGATCCTATTTTGATAGGCTTGGCAGTGGATTGGCATGGTTGCCTCCGCACGAAAGTAATAGGACTAATAAAGGAGCTTAAATCCTCTTGATGTTATACGTGGTAAATCAGGGATGACTTTTCTCTACAAACTAGGTCTTCTTTCTTTTCTAGGGTGTGGGTGGGGATCTAGAGGTTTTGGTATTGACATGAAACAAACATATTATATTCCATTGTATAAGGGTGATGCTAAATCCACCCCAAAAATAGTTGTATCCACCCCTTTCACATAAATTTGCTAAATCCACACCAATATAAACTTTATATTAATGGGTGTAGATATAGCAAATATTGGCAAAAAGTGTGGATATAGTCATTTTGGGGGTGGATTTAGCAACACCCATTGTATAATTAGTTCTTATTTTTGAAATTTTAATAACTTTATTTTCTTAAAAAATATTTTCATACCGTGCAACACAAAGGTAAAAAAAAGTCGGGGTTAATCTTTATCGCACGTTTGCCTACTACTTAAAAAATCAGACTTTAGTCACAGTGAACTCTATGTTAGATATATTTATGTGTAATGCACTCTTAAATGATCAAAACCTCTAGAAAGTGTATTGTTATTCAAAATGGATAGTACTCGGATGTGATATGTATTAAATTTTTTTACTATATTTACTCATTCTAATATATTTATTCTTTAAATGAATAAAATTATTTATTATTGTATAATTCTGACCGTGCATTGCACGGTTAAAATCTAGTATGTGGAATACACTTATTTGAGATTCTAGACAATACCAAATAATATATATAGACACACACACGCACCGTCCATTAGTAAATTAAATTGTAAGCTAAAAATGTAATGGTTAAGAAATTAATTTAATCAAGCATTAAGTTAAGATAGACTAACACAATGTCTCTTTACTTGATCTGAATGGTTCTGATTTGATTGAAATAAGTTCTATTTTGATATGAAGATAATTATATTTAACATTGCTTCTAATATGATATGATTTGGTCTGATTTGAACTTAACTGATTCCAAAAAAAGTAATAAGTAATAAGAATGAGTTGAAGAGAGCATGGCCTAAGGTTGTGCTCTCCCAAGTTTTTCTTATTACTTATTTTTATTAGAACATATCAAATCAGATCAGATTAAAAACAAATTTAAATATAACTATAATCAGATTAATTCGCACCTAATTAAATCATATCAGAATTTATTCCAATCAGATTAGGTGAATATAACATGACTAAACTACATCTATTACGATTTCATGTTTAAAAATTTTGAAAGAATTGTGGTTTTGTATATAGTTATTGGAAAAATAAAACTACACTCTTAAAAATTACTCCGTAGTAAATTGTTTTGAATTTGTTAAGTTAATACGGAGTATATTGTTTTGAATGTGTAGTCATTAACTATATAGCCATAGCATATAGCGAGAGTTGAATATTAAAATAAATATTATGGATTTTTTTACTCTTATAAAAATTAAATCTTGACATTTTTCATTGGGAAAAGGACCAAACTAGGAGTAAAACATATACCATATCCCTAAAATAAGAGTTAAAACTTAAAATCCCCTAAATAGGAGTAATAACTAAAGTA